CACACACACACACACACACACACACACACACACACACACACACACACGGGGGGGGAGAGAGAGAGAGGGAGAGGGAGGGAGAGGGAGGGAGAGGGAAGGAGAGGGAAGGAAAGAGAGAGGGAGAATCAATAGAAAACAAAAGGGATGAAGCTCGATGTTATTTCCTATCTTCTATACCCACCTCAGAACAAATCTACCTGTCCCTAATGTTCTCTGGGTGGATGTGTTGAAAATAACTGTCAACTCCAGAAGGGGGAAGGACAAATCTTTGCTCTGTGATTTCAGGGTCTAATCTATTTCTGGGGAGTCAAGATCTCTGCGGCCTACACCCCTGGCACAGTATAATTGAGAGCTTCGTGGTTCTGACAGACCTTGGGACCCCCAAATCAAGTGCAGTGGATTGAAACTTCAAGCTAGCCTGGGATACAGGTTATTGCTTACAAACCAAAGAGAAGATAGCATAATAAATTAGGCCTCAGCCTGTTGGGAACTCCTCTAAGAGGCTCATATGAACATCATTCATAGGCAGTGAACATTGTCCTGATAGACCCCAGATTTGGTGGCTTAGAGCTGGGCTCACCCCATTGTTTTTGATTGTGTGTGAACCAGAAACTGCACTTCTAGGATTTACTGGCTTTCTGGATCAGTTTGACACAAGCTAAAGTCACCTGAGAGAAAGGAACCTCAATTAAGAGAATGCCACCATAAGATAGGCTGTAGAGACAAGCCTGGAGGGCATTTTCTTAATTAGTGGTTATTGGTGAGGGACCGAGCCCCTGGGCTGATGGTCCTGGGTGTTATAAGTAAGCACGCTGAGCAAGCCGAAAGGAGCAAGTCAGTAAGTAGCACCCCTCCATGGCTTCTGCATCAGCAAGTGCCTCCAGGTTCCTGCTCTGCTTTAATTTCTGCCCTGACTTCCTTCAGTGATCATCAGCGATGTGGAAAACATAAGCCAAACAAACCCTTTCCTCCTCAAGTTGCCTTTGTCATGGTGTTTCATTAGAGCAGTAGTGACCTTAACTAAGACACGGGAGATGCTCCTGAGGGTGGGCAAGTCACTTCTGGTTGTGGCAAGTCCTCTTAGGACCCTGCATCCTACCAAGAGAATATATCACTTCTTCCAGTTCTGTGACAGAATATCTGAAAGAAACAACTGAAGGCTTTATTTGGATCATGGTTTGAGGGTATAGACCATCATGGTGAGAAAGGTGCGGGGGCAGGAGAATGAGGCAGTTGGCCACATTATTTCCTGTCTTAGGGAAGCAGAGAGAATCATGCTGGTGCTCAGCTTGCTTTCTCCTTTTCCATTCTGTTTAGAGTCCCAGCCCATGGGACAGTACTGTGGTGATTTGAATGAGAATGTCCTCCATTAGCTCATATATCTCAATACTTGGTCTCTAGTTGATGAAACTGTTTGGGAAGGATTGGGAGGTGTGGCCTTGTTGCAGGAGGTGTGTCACTGGAGTGGGCTTTGACGTTTCAAAAGGCATGTAATTCCCAGGGTCTGTCTCTCTCTCTCTCCGCCTGGTACTTGTGTCTCAAGATGTAAGCTCTCAGCTATTGCTTTAGTGTCATGCCTGACTGCCTGACTGCTCCTGCTCCTATGCTCCTTGCCATGATAGTCATGGACTCTAACTCTCAGAAACTATGAGCCTCAAATAAACTCTTCTGAGTTGCCTTGGTCATGGTGTCATATCACAATAATAGAAAAGTAACTAAGCCGGGTACCAGCCATATTCAGGGTAGGTTTTTCTTACTCAGTTAAACCTTTCTGGAAACACCCTTAGAGACATGCTCAGAGAGATGTGACTCCCAGGTGAGTTCAAATCCAGTCAAGATGACAATGAAAAGTAACCATTACAACTCTTACATCAAAAGGGATGTCTGAGATTTTAGGAAGCATTGTCCCCAACCCCAGCTTTCTTTTCTTTTTTTCTTTTTTGGTTTTTGGTTTTTCGAGACAGGGTTTCTCTGTAGAGCCTTGGCTTTGTAGACCAGGCTGGCCTCGAACTCACTTAGATCCACCTGCCTCTGAGGCCTCCCTGAGTGCTGGGATCATAGGTGTGCACCACCATACCTGGCTCAGTCCTAGCTTTTTATCTTGTTTTCTCTTCCTTTATTCACCTTTTACCTTCTAGGTAAGAATGGGTCTTCTGTTCTCCTTGGTGGAGGAGAAAAGGTGGAGCCTAGGAAGGGAGGTGAGAGAAAGACTCAGCTTCATAACCCACCTTGTGGTTCAGACTCATCTGGCAACAGTCAAAGGATGTCCCTCCCCTAGGGTTTTTATTCGGTTGGTCTGGGGTGGGGCTTTCCTCCTTCCCTCCCTCTCTCGCTCCTTCCTTACCTCCCTTTTTTCCTTCTTTCTTTCCATTCTTCCTTTCTCCCTTCCTTCATTTGTTCCTTCCTTTCTCTACTTTTTCCTCCCTCCCCACCTCTCTCTCCTTCCATTTCTCTATTTGTTCTTTTGTTCCTTCTTCCTCCTCTCCTTCTCTCCTTCCCTCCTCTTCTCGCTCTTTCACTCTATTTCTCTATTTGTTTCTTCATTCTTTCTCCCCTCTCTCTCTCCTTTCCCCCCTTTCCTCCTCCTCTCTCTTTTCCTCTTCTCCTTCTTCCTTCTCCTCTCATCTCCGTTCTTCAGGAGATTCTAATCTGTGGCCAAATTCAGAAACCACACAATGTCTTTGCTCTGTGGGGCTCAGGGGCTTGTCAGTCATCCTCTCATCTCTGGGGTGTCCTGGGGTTGGAGGCACAGACTGAGGTCAGCAACAGAGGTCCAGGACCTGAGCTTAAGATGTGGCACTGTGATGTGCTGATGTGTGACTCGGAGACCGTTCGTCAGCCTCTGTGTGTGTGTGCATATGTGGTAGTGTCGGTGGGGCATATATGACAATAATATCCACCTTAACTGAGAGGCTATGAAGATTAATGAGATAATTCTTACAAACTATTTTGCATAGGACACAGGGAGCCCTGGACAGACAATGGCTGTGATGTCTGGGGGTCAGTGGTTTGGAGAAGCTGGTGATTCAGACCTCTGCTTTCCTTGCAATGCTGGGGTTTCATGGAGCCTATGCAGGGCAAACAAAGGGTCTTTTTTGTCCTCTTTACTAGGAAGTAGGCCCTGCTTACCTTTTGGGGACCTCTCATTTCTCCCCCTTTGTCCTTGTTTGCCATATCCTTTGCAGCTACCCTTGG